AAATGGCGGACGGACTCCTACGAATAATAATAATAATAATAATAATAATTTCCTTACGTGATTCAGTAAAGTTTTAGAGTTTTTAAATGTTTATTATTATCGACACCGACCGTTTTATTTATTTATAATAATTATATTTAAAAAAAATTTTTTAATTATGTTTTCTTACAACAAAACAACAACACGCACACACCTAACAAACACAATCGTGTTTATTATTATTATTATTTTAATTATTTATCTTTTTCTCTCTCTCTTTTATTTTTTTATTATTATTATTATTTTTTTTTTGACTTTACTTTAATTAATTTAATTCTTATTTTTTGCAAAACAAAACTGGAAAAAAAACATCAAAACCAGATGAAAACATAAAAAAAAAAACCTTCTTAAAAACATTCAAAACTTTTCTTTTTTTTAAGTAATTAAAAATATAAAAAAAAAAAATTATTAACAAACATGAATAATTAAAAACAAAAAAAATAAAAATAAAAAATAAAAAAATTTTTTTTTTTTTTAACTTTACTGAAATGTAATTAAAAAAATTTTTTTTTTCTTTACAAAAACAACGATATTATTATTATTATTATTATTATTATTATTATTATTATTATCATTATTATTATTATTATTATTATTATCATTATTATTATTATTATTATTATTATTATTATTATTATTATTATCATTATTATCATTATTATTGTTGTTGTTGTTGTTGTTGTAAAAAATATAATTATTAAGAGAGAAAAAAATCTGGGTTTAACAATTTTATTAAACAAAAAGAAAAAAATTATAATTAAAATTAAAAATTTAATAAAATTTATTGATTATTATTATTATTATTATTATTATTATTATTATTATCATTATTTAAATAGAATAAGTATCAAATTAAGACTATGAAAACTATTATAAGATAAATAAATTAATAAATAAATAATTTGAAGTAAGTAAAAAATAAATAAATTTATCACTTTTTTGTTTTTCCTTTTCCTCCTCTTTTCCTCTCCTTCCTCCCTCCCTCTTTCCACTCCCCCTACCCGATTTTCCACCTCCCTAACCGATTTAAAAGATGACACATTTTCAAAAAGGATTACAAGAGAAAAAGAAAATTATTTAATTAGAATCTATTTTAAATTTCTTGCAAGTTTTCTTTTTTTTTATAATTCAGGTGGAAGAAAACAAAAAAATTTTCCATAAAATTTCTTCGATCAGAAACAAACAAACAACAACAAAAAAGTTTTAAAATGAAGAATGTAAAAAGTTATTATTAAAACGACAAAATTTTCACAATTTCATTTTTTTTAAATAAAAATAAATAGAGAGAGAGAGGGGGGGGGAGAGGAAGGAGTGTGAGGTAAAAAAGAAAGTAAAATGATAGAGAAAGTGAGAGGGGGAGAGAGAGAGAGAGAGAGAGAGAGAGAGAGAGAGAGAGAGAGAAAAGAAAATTTAAAAAAAAACTTTAAATAAAAAATTAAGAAAAATAAAAAAAATAAAATTCATAACTTATTCGGTTGATTTATTTATATACATAAATTATTATTATTATTATTTTTTTTTCTTTCTTTCCTATTTTAAAACTTTAACAAGTTTTTACTTTACGCAAATAAATAAATAAATAAAAAGCAACAAACGATTGTTATTTATCGGTTGTACGAGTAAATTATGACAAAATCCTAACAAACTAAGTTTTTGTTATCGAGTTTAATAAATAACGCCTCGAGTCGTGGTAATAACGAATTTAAAAAAAAATTATTATTCGATCCGTGGCTAAGGGGTTGAAATTGCGGGGGGAGGAGTGGGAGGAAGAAGAAGTGCGTGAGTGCGCGAGTAAAACGTGCAGGTTCATATAAATAATGTTAATCATTTTGCAAATGTGTGTCAGACAAAGGAAATGAACCGACGACATTCAAAAGTAAAAATTTTTTTTGATTCTTCAAAAAAAAACCTTTTTGATCGAGACTGATGATTCCATCCATCCATCCATCCATCCATCCATCCATCTACTGCCACGCCTTTTCTTCAGTCATGCTAATTTCTTTCAA